ATATCAATTTAAGAACAACGATCAGTAATAGGTAACTAATAAATGAATGATTAACTTCCTCACACAGTTAAGTAATATTACGTGTTATTACTGACACTGAAATAGGTAAAACAAATGACGTTGTATCGTCTTCGCAGAGACGCGCGGGGGCGGCCGGCCCCGCGTACCGCGCCCCCTCCACCCGCACTCTAACGCGCTGGGCCACGTTCACAACCTAAGTGTAGTTGTTTGGTTGTTTTTTAAACACCAAGCGGTCACCGGTGACCGCGACCTATTGTTCTTTAATTGTGTCTATAAAACCGGTACTCGACGAGTTAACTCGCTCAAAGGCTCGGAACGAGGTCGGTTGTTTAACGTCAAATTGGAACATAAAAAACTTGGAGTCAAGTCAACTGTCATCGACTGACACAAGATACTTCGAAAATTTATGGAATATGACAACCGAGCCTTGAGGCTCTGAACGACCTAGAGTGCACTCGAGCGTAGGCTCTGACCGCTCTCCTGTAAGTAGCGCGCAGCGGGCTGTGCGTGTGCGTGCACGGCGCGGCGACCGACGGCTCACCGAATTTAGCGGGCGCGCCCGCTAAAGAATTCATTCGCGGACCATATTTTGGCTTCTGCGGACCACTGGTGGTCCACGGACCACTGGTTGGGAACCATTGCCCTAAAATGTAGAAGAAGAAAAAGATGACAGAAATATGTATGTTTTAGTGGGCATTTTTTTATATTTGATGGGCCGACGTTTGACTACTATATCGCCTGATGGTAAGCGATGATGCGGTCTACGATGGAGCTTGTCGTCCCATAAGCAACCTATTATAATCCACAACCTAGGGATAGAAGAAAGGTTTTTTTAAGGGAGGAAAATCATCGAATGACTGTTCCCGCGTGGGTGAGGCGGGAGGGAATGTCAGACTCTTACTGACTAAAAACCACCCCGTTCCTTCTCCTGCACGTCGAGCCGGAGCCCCGGTTACCCGTTAGGTTCTCCGCGACAAATAAGTAATGTAATAGGTACAGTTATGTATAAGAGATGCACATCCCTTACTGAGGGTACTAGGCAATTTTGGTGGATTGCGTCTTCATTTGTATTTTCTGCATTTATACAGTAAGATTGTATCGCATAAGAAGGACCTGAATTCTTCTTCATTAATAACATTCTAATTTTTTTAACATCAGAATCTGTATTCAGTCCATTCCGTGTTCAACATTTTTAGTTAATCATTATTTTTGCACATAATGATTAAACTCACCCCTAATACCCAAAGCTGATGGTAAGCAATCGGCGTTGTCCATGGATACTTGGAACACCAAAGATGTTACAAGTGCGTTACAAGTTACAAGTGCGCTTTTGTTGATTAGAAATTTAAGAATTGTTGGGGATTCAGGGATTGGGGAGATTGGGGAATTGAGGAGGGATGTAATTGGGCCTCCGGTAACCTCATTCACACGACGAAACCCAACGCAAGCGTTGTTACACGTCGGTCGAGCCGGTCCATTCGTGCAGAAGCATGGTGCTCCCACACTTTAATTATGGTATAACTATTCAAGATATTTTCAAATAAATGTCCAAATTGTACCTGCCATTATACAACCATACAAACATAAATTACCAAATTCCTTTGGTGTTTGCCTCTTAAGAAAAAGACAAGGAAGGGTTTCTCTATAATTAATTCCACACTCTCTAATCTATACATAAACCGCATATCAATATTAACCTTGTAAATATAATGATACTTATTATAACAAGGAATAAAGGTGAGTTTTGTAGAACAAGTATTCCGCGATGTGCGGTTGAATGTCCATAGTACACGCGACTACACATCGAATCTAAACAAATTTATCATGGTCTCGTCTTTAATGATCTTTCCGTACATTCGTGGTTCAGTTTATACTGGTTGCTTAGCTTGGTATGTAGCTGTGCACGACGTATGGTGCCATTAAAGTGTTTGCGGACTGTTCAGCCAAAGATCAAGTGTAACCTCGTAATGTGGGTTAATTTATTTGTGAGAGTGGCTGAATTTAGTGGGGAAGAAGTTGAAGGTAAGGAATTAAATATGGGGACGTGTGGAGTCCTACGTGGTTTAATGTACCTTGGCAAGATGTAGGGTCTACCGTTAAATTACTATATCGCTTTGAAGTTGATATTTCGATATTATGATGTCAGAATATCTATCTTGTATTGCATATTATGATTTTTTTGTAATACCTAAATGTTTTATTTGCATGTTATGTGCATGTTACTTGTATCTTTTATTTACTAGATGGTGCAAGTGAAGTAAAAAAAATACGTTTATTTTAAAACCGAAGTTTGATTTTTGTAGAGAACAATACGGTAGTTGACAACTAGTCAAATTCAATACTTTTATCGAAACGTCAAAAACGATATTGTTCTATGAATTTTGTACGAAATAGTATCTTATAACGTCATCATATTTGCGTATACACTTATATCTAAAAAAAATTTAGATTAAATCCAAAATTAGGTATATCGGCAAATCAATTAGTGAAAGTGTATAGTGGTAACTTTTTTCTATGCCACAAAACAATATTTTCTTAAGACATTTTAAAATGTATTTAATTTATATTTATAGATATTACGAGATATTTAATATATAGTGGTACCTATTTTTGAATATTTAATTGGATTGAAAAATCAAAATAATTTAGTTTTGACCCAGGAAACTTCCCAATTCTGTCCGATCTATCTGAGTGTCCACCCGTAAGATGACCCACTGGATGAGATTATAAATAGGATGTATATCTAAAAAGATGCAGTTCTAAACCTATCCATGACACAGGAGAATACGCTAGAGTGATGGTATGTTCTAAATAAAAATGAGAAGACGGTACGCCATTGAATATCTTCTGCTCAGTAACAATACTATTATTTAGCAAAAAGCCTTGGACTTATCCTTAGTCTTACCAAATCGCTTATGCCTTTACCCCAAGCTTAGAATACTCCACAAGACCGGCAGTAAACTAAAATTTACACCAACACAAAACAAATTTATTATCCGGTGAATTTACAGGAACATTAAACCCACACCGATGCCAAATGTCTTTATAAGGTCACGTTTGTTATACGCATAGCTATTACGTAATTTGGAGTAGTCTTTGTACCTACTTCATATTTTTATAATATAACATAACATCACGCCGTTTATTCCCAAAGTTGTAGGCAGAGGTGCACATTAGGTATACCACTGTACAATGTAACACCCACTTTTCACCATTTATGTTATGAGTCCCATGTAATAGGGGGTGAGCCTATTGCCATATACCGGGCACAATTTCAGACTCCATGTTATTACTGAGAATATTTTAAAACCCAGTAATACTTTGCTTGACCCGGGAATCGAAAACAAGACCCCTTGCCCGGCAGTTGCGCTTATGACCACTCGGCCAACGAGGCAGTTAATTTTTATATTGTTTTAGTATACCTAAGATCAATCATTATTTACTTGATCTTTGACGCGTAAAGCCTATGCATTTTATCTTGGATGGAAGCTTACAAATTATACGTCTCTAACAGATAGGGACTTCCAATATAGAGTGGGAATAAATATATAATTTATAAAGTAAAGAGTTACTCTTTACATGGCAGAGAGACATGAATTTCTTTTGACTCTTTGATTCAGGTTTTGTAGTAAGAATTTAAATAATAAATCTTGTCACAGCAACAAACATCATGAAAACATCACGAACATTCATTTTTATTATCCCACACTTGGAATTCCTCCTGTGGAATATACATCATATAACGCCCAGACCCGGAACAACAATTTGTGTATCATACAAAGAGTGGCTCCTCGCTGCACGTTACGCGATAGCCGGTTGCAAAGCCACCGCACCAACCATTCCGTCAGATTCGTTGAAACCATACACGATTATATATTCAATTAATATTAAAATTGAGTAAATAAAACAACAAAATAATTTACTCTTAACCAATTTTGCCATAATTTATACGAATTATAACTCTCACAAATGTAGACTAACGCATATAAAAGTGCATGAATGGACTGCAAAATTTCAGCTATTTCAAAAACCACGTAATAATCTTTAAATGATAGCTGTCAGTAATTTTGGATGGCATTCAACCACAATGGTGCTAAATGTACCACATTATTGGCAAAATTATGCTATTACATTAGTTACGTAGCACCCACCTAACGACTGAGTGTCTATTTACACAGAGCTGAATTAACATAATTACCTAATTACATCAATAAGCTAACATAATCAGTTAATTGTTAAATTGCACGCTTTAGTTGTGATACCAATTAGAATAATACATGTTACTTATTCAAGCGAACTGATTTGGATAAAATATTGGACTGTTGTGATCTATTTGTTTATTTATTTGGCAATTTGATACGAAGTGTTTTAAGCGTAAGCCTTTAAACGAGCAATTCTTGTATACGTATATATGATATCAATGATTTCGGAAACGACTGATCCAATTGGTCCTCCGGTAACCTCACTTACACGACGAAACACAACGCAAGCGTTGTTTCACGTTGATTTTCTTTGAGGCCGTGGTATCACTTCGGTCATTCGCGCCGATGCATAGCTCTCTCACACTTACTTATTTTCCTCGTTTCCTTTACTTATACCCCTTTGAGAGATATAAAATATATATATAACATATATATAACATAATATTATATATAACATCACGCCTTTTTATCCCCGAAGGGGTAGGCAGAGGTGCACATTTCGGCACTTAATGCCACTGTACAATGTAACACCCACCTTTCACTATTTATGTTATGAGTCCCATGTAATAGGGGGTGAGCCTATTGCCATATACCGGGCACATTTTTCCAGACTCCGTGCTACTACTGAGATTTTTAAAAACCCAGTAATACTTTGCCCGACCTGGGAATCGAACCCGAGACCCCTTGCCCGGCAGTCGCACTTGCGACCACTCGGCCAATGAGGCAGTCAAATATAAAATATCTTACTATAATAGGCTATAGTATGTATGCACTTACTTGTGAGACATGTGTGAGATTAGATGCAGCATAATATGATACTCTTGACTCCGGCTTTGCGTACACATGCTCTCCTATGTGTGTAGTCGCATATGGAGACGGTGACCGACGACTGCCTGTGGACAAAGACAACCTTATTATATTATCAACTATTAGGATTTCATTTAAATGTTCTGTGGGAACGCTGACGGAAAATATCGTGAGCAAACCTGGGCGTATCATTTCTAATTAATTTTAAGTTTGAAATTGCCAACTTGTATTGAGCAGTCGTGATGATCAATGCTCGAACCTTCTTCGTATGAGAAGATGCCTTTGGTGGTCACTTATAAACTATTGATATGATGTGCGGTCCTGTTCCTACCATAGAGTAGAGCCCTGTTCTGTAGTTCTTACTTAAAGAATGTTAAACTATTTGAAGAGATTTGATTAACTATCCTAGTAATTGAATAGATTTTACCAATTCCCTATCACAATATGGCAGTTTAAAGATGAAAAAGAGAAATGTACACACGGCTACATATCGAGCTTTACATAACCAGTATAAACTGAACGTTAAATGTGCGGAAAGATGATGCGACGCGACACCAGGATAAACTGGTTTTTGTATAGATTGATGTGTGGCCGTGTGTACACTGATTCTACTATCTATTATGAGAGGTGCTCATCTAAAAATGAAAAATATATTTGTCTTTATATACATTTTCTGGATATATTTTTATTAAAAACTAATCTCGTTTTCTGTTCAAAGCATAATTTTCATTACAACTAAATACGTATCTAAGATCATGATGTTACCGTTTCTGAGAATTTCTTCTTTGAATACGAAATACAGAAGCTTTGTTTCTAAATGTATAATTATGCTATCTAAATATGTATATATTATTATACATTAAAATGAGTATTCTCAACTCTCTCAACATTTAAAAAGTACCTACAGTTTTTTTTACAAATTTCAGAGATGGATAATCATATGGTAGGTTCCTAAATTTTATTTTAATGTCCGTCTTGTACATTAATTTAAAACTTTAGACGTATTTTTTCTTTACTCACATAATTAAATACATACTTATGACGATATATTAATTTGAAATATCGTGTGACGTCACAGCGTGCCACATTTTGGAGCACGTTATGACGTAACCACCTCCCACTACTAAACTTAGCGCCATTTTATCTAAGTATTGCAACTAAATACGAGAAAATAAAAAAATACGTGTCTAATATTTTTCCATTATCTAACTGACGGACTAATTAGATTTTTAATTGATACCCTGGCAACTACCCTATTGTGGCTGAAGATCGCTTTTCAAAAACTTAAGGTTTGTCAGAGAGTGCTGCTGTTCGGTCTTGGTCAAATCTGTTAAATATCTAGTGGCTTTTTATGACTCCCGTAAAAAGACTAGGAGTAAAAATGTACGCCATCATCAACACGCAGCTTAAAAAATACATATCCATATTAAATCGTTAGTTCAAACATTTATTTATCCGTATAAAAATATAAACAGCAAAACATTTGCCCTAATTACTTATGTTATTTTTTCAGGAACACACATAATTATAATTAAGTAGTTCACTTACGAATGAACGAATATAATTTTAATATTACTTCCAGAATATTCGTCAGGAATTTTCCAAGCGAATAATATAAAAATACTGAAGTGAAATTATGTCACATTCCCTATGTAACATTTTCTCATTTGCTATAAATTCCTCAGCTGAAACATATTTTGTTGCTACTCAGAATAGTACTTTATTGTGTATTATTATAAGGTTTATACTTTATTACGTGTAATAAATTGTTTGTGAATGTATTCCCACTTCCTTGATGGTGCTCAAACTGTTTGTATATCATTTTTGAAAGGCCTAAATAATAAGAGGGGTATTAAAGAAAAAAAAGAAAATAACTTTAAGTTAGGCATAATACTTGGCTCTAGAATACAAGAAACTACTAACTTTTATTACCAGATAAAACCGAAGAACTAATGCATGAGAATAAAATTTATTGGCCTTTTTAATAAGTTAAAATAATTGTACGATTTTATGGAGATGATTAACTGATCAATGACATCAACGATCAATCATAGTCTATCCATATAAATTGAGTGTATGTTTTATAATAACTATCGTGAGGAATTGCACTCGGTATAGGGCAATAGGCTCACCCCCTATTACGCGGGACTCATACATAAATAGTGAAAAGTGGGTGTTACATTGTACAGTGGTATAATGTGCACCTCTGCCTACCCTGCGATGTCACGCAGCCTACTCTGCTGCGCGACGACGACTGCGCTGCTCATGAGGAAGAACCCCTCTGTGGTTCGAAACTAGTAGAGCTTTTCTCAGTATATTCATGTGAGTAACCCACGATTTTTAGTTAAATGAGTATATGTTTTATTTAAATATAGTTTTGCATCTTACTTACCAAAAGGAAATTTGTGTAAGCTGGCGATGGTGGCATAAGATCCTGTGGAGCTCGGTGGCCTGCCAAGTGTATCGAGCCTTAGAAGTACATTCTGATGGCTCCCGTACGCAGCTGTTGTGTATGATGTACTGAAAAGAGAGTTGGTGTTAACATCCAAGCATATTTTTCCTTAACTACAAAAGTAAATCAAATTACTTGTCAGTTTTTAAAGGATTTCATAATTATACATTGTATAAGACGTATAAATATTACATCCGTATCGAAACTACAATCTCGTTAGCACAAACCTCTAGAATAATGAACTCATAAAACAAAACAAATCACATAAATAATAAAAAAAGAAAACACCCAATGCAGATAATAATATAACACTGCAACTGCAAATTGCGGTCGGATGGAGAGATAATATAAATTTCATCTCAGTTACGACCAGTAAACTAGGACAGTAGGTAAGAGTGGCCAACTGATCAGTAAACAATAATTTATTATTTATAGCCGATACGTTGCTAGTCCATGAGTTCCATATTGCTTCAAACTTATTTTGGTGCATGCAGAGGTTCAATATTTAGGTTATCTTTACCGATGAAATTAAACCGCGGACAACTTGACAGGTTTACGAGGCAGCTCGAAGGAGGAGTAGATCTGGGGTGGTTTTAGTCAGTAAGAGTCTGACACTCTCTCTCGCCTAATCCAGGGCTGGAGAAGTCATTGGATGATTTTAGCCTCTTAAAAAAAGTTTAAGAAGTTGCTGTTTTTCCTTAAATAAGATAACCTAACTAGTAATAAATTTGAAATACAACGAAAAAGGATTTTTACAATTTCATAACAAAAATTATTAATTTCGAATGAAAAATTTTATGCTGCAATTGCAAGACATTGATTTGAAACTAAAATTCATAGAAAAATGGTTATATAGATTTGGAAACAGACAAGATAGCAAATCCACAGTTTTATAGATAACAATTCACCAGAATAATATTGGACCCATCAAATTGGAAATGAGGCCATTGAAAGTACATCTACCTCTACATGAATCAAAACTCCTCTATTTGAGACTTAAACAAATAAAACCCGACAAATACAATTAGTCCAACTTACCAACTATAAAATCGAATCTAATGTCACTTATGTTAGCTAAGGAGTTCCTTAAAATTTAAGGAAATAGGCATAAATACCACTTACTCAACAGTCGGTCATATGTGACCTTTCTAACCCTAACTCAAATTATTAGTTCAACATACGGATGTGGTCAACCCACATGATACACCGTGAGATGTATTGTATTGTACTGTGTTGTATTGTAAATGTGTATTTATGGTATTATATGGGATCAAACCGCAAGACAATCGGATCATGATTGTGATGTATACCTACTGTTGTGTGTGTCATATTGAAGCGTAATATGCTTAAATATATTTGTAACTGAGAATTGAATTAAGAATGTCAAGATAACTACATAGTTAGCAAATATTTTGAACAGAAATAGGACTATTGATAAGTTATGGAATAATAAGTGACTCGCATTGATAGTAATTTCACTCATTTACGAAACTATTAGTAGACACATAAAATAAAAAGTAAATCATTAATCGTTGCTTGCTTCTTGACTCTTCTCTGCATTAGCCTAAAGGAGAAAATGCCTGTGACATTAAATCCACCTTATGTATTGGTCAAAAAATATCGTCGATTAATCAATAACGTTAACAATACCCATTAATTTATCGAGATTGAAAGTTATACTCCATATAAAGTTGTCGTTTTTACAAGCAATGCGTCCAAAAATATCAACTCAATTGAATTGATATTTTTGAATTAGAAGGCACTGTGTCTATGTATCAATAGGTAGTTTCCTAAATTTTATTTTAATGTCCGTCTGGTACATTCATTTAAAACTTTAGACACGTATTTTTTCTTTTCTCACAAAATTAAATACTTTTAAAGATATATTAATGTGAAATATCGTGTGACGTCACATCGTGTCACATTTTGTAGCACGTTATGACGTAACGACCTCCCACTCCCAAACTTAGCGCCATTTTATCTAAGTATTGCAAGTTAATACGAGAAAATAAAAAAATACGTGTCTAATATGTTTTCATTATCTAACTGACGGACTAAATAGATTTTTAATTTTGAAACCCTGGACACTACCCAATTGTCTATTTAGTATTTATAATTATAAAAGTACCTATAATAAAGCCATCCTTTTAGGTACCCACAACTTGAAGACCCTTTTTTAAAAAAGAAATAATTCTATACACATAAATTTATTCGTGGCACACGAGGTATAGTGTGATAAAGTCGCGGATATCGAGTAACTATAAAAACATTTTGCCTGTCTATCATAGAACCTTCCGTACCACATCATCCATCACATGTGTCGGGGGGTCGCTGCCCCCTATATGTTTTTGGGAATTGGGCCAAGAGGTAAACTGAAAGCGATCTGTGTTCATTATTGAGTGGAACAGATTTCAGCAATGATTTTTACTATGAAAGGTTTATTTAATTATAGGTTTAATTTCATTTTAACGTCCGTCTGGTAAATTAATTTAAAACATTACACATGTATTTTTTCTTTTTCTCACAAAATTAAATGCTTTTGACGATATATTAATTTGAAATATCGTGTGACTTGTTTGTAGCACTTTGTGACGTAACGACGTCCCGCTCCTAAACTTAATTTCATTTTATCTAATTACTAGCTTTTACCCGCGGCTTCGCTCGCGTCACAAAAGAATAAAAAGTAGCCTATGTGACATATACCAATACACACAGCGCCATCTATACCAATACGTTTGTTTTTCCTCGGGAATATCAATTTTTCCGGGTTAAAAAGTACCCTATTATTTAATCCGGACTTCTAACTTTACGTCTGCAAAAATTCAAAGCAATCGGTTGAGTAGTTACGGCGTGAAGGTGGAACAAACAAACAAACAAACAAACTCACTTTCAGATTTATAATATTAGTATAGTAAGGATTGTAACTTTATTAAAATTGTAATTAGATTTTAAATGTTCATACCCTAGCAACTACCCTTTGGGTGTTAAAGAATAACGCAAAATATCTTTTTAGTATAATAATGATTTACAATTGATTTGCTAGTTAAAGCAGCTGAGCTTATTGTGTTGCAACTGTGTTTAAAAAGTTACGTACCTACAGCAATTTGTTTACAATATTATAAAGTAACTTGATTTGAATATTCTGCACAAGACTACTGTTTATTATTACATGACCTATTTATTGCTAATATTACCTATTTATTATTATTCAAAATAAGGGTACTTTTCCTACATGCTTAATTCGCTAAATCACATCAATTACACCAACCACAATGTTTAAGGTCAACTTCAACCTGATATTGTGTTGAAATTGGTGTATTATTGAAAAATTTATAAAGCTTCGAAGGGTACCAAGGGTCGGTCCCCTATACAAGAAATATTTTCAAAGAATTTAGTTTCTCCTTAATTTGGGGGCAGTTTATATGCCATGCATAATGTATCGCTATTGTATGCTTTGTGCATTGTTATAAGCAAATTTTCGGCTATAATTCTACTACCATATAAAAGGAATTGAGAACCTCCCCTTTCTTGAAGTCGATTTATATCAAAGAAATTGCGTTTAGAATTGACTAAGAATGAATTACACCAAATAAGGAAAGTTTGCTTGTACCAATGATTTAGCTTTTCTTTTAATAAAGTTTTGAAATAAGATTTTTCTTTGAATACATATACCTACATAAAGAACAATAAAATTGATACTTTACAACATATAAAGGGAGGTAATGGGTGAACTTGTATATATAAAGTTTTTATAGTTTGGTTGTGAGCAAAAACTCGGAGCTAAGGCTTTTTTATGACTCAGTAATATAGCACTATATTTTTAGACCTACGGAGTCAAGGCCAATTTTATTTCAACAGAATTTATAAAAATAAATTTTCGTATTTTTACCCACTTTCTTTACTACTAAAGATATACTATCATTCGCCATCACTCGGATAACGTTCACTAATGACGTTTTATATTATAATTCTATGTTTTTGATGCATTTCCATAATAATTTCTATCAGCGTCAATTACCACCACAACTAAATATTAATTACAATGGCTCGACGATTACAGAAGTGAATACTACCAGATTCTTGGGTTTAGTGATCGATAGCAATTTAACTTGGAAACCGCATATCGAATCGGTGTGTAAGAAAATAAACAGTTTTGCATATGCTCTTTATAAATTATCACGTTCAGCTAACCAGGAGACAGTGATCACCGCTTATCATAGTTACGTGGAATCTATACTGAGGTATGTGCTGATTTTTTGGGGTAACTCCACCGATAAAAATGACATATTCATAGCACAAAAAAGATGTGTACGCGCTATACGTGGCCTACGTCCTAGGGACAGTTGTAAGCCACACTTTCAAGACTTAAAACTGTTAACGTTTCCATGTTTATTTATTTACGAAGTAGCCACCTTTGTTAAATGTAACAGATGTCTATTTGAATTAAAGCCCCCACGCGATTCCAGGCTGAGGCAAAAGGATACTGGTGACCTTCAAGTAGTACACGGTAATACAGCGCTTTTTAGTAAGAGTATTTTCAGGGTTGCTGCACAAATATATAATAGATTACCTAAGGAAATCAAAGCACTAGACTTACCTCTTTTCAAAAAAACTAAGGCAGTTTTTAATAACTAAATGTTATTATAATTTAACCGAATTTATGACTGATGACAGAGGAAATTTATAATGTTAACAATGAAGATTTTTATTGTTTCCTTAAGTTAATGTAAATATTTAGTTACTTAAATGTTATTATAGTTTAATTGAGTATACGGCTGATAGAGTAAATTTTCAACACAAATAATAGTTTTATTAAAACTTGATGTTAATATTAATTTAGTTTGTAATTAGGTGTATTATGTTCCATAATGTAGACAGAGAAGATTATTGTCTGTAAACACACTAGATTAAGAACATACTATAAAAATTTTGTATGTCTGTACAGACACAATGTGGCGCACTACCATAATATTATCTACCATCTATTGTAACATACCTACATTGACGAAATAAACAATATTTGTATTTGTATTTGTATTTGTATTCTCTCGCTCTATTGACGCAGCTGAAAGATCAAGAGAAGAAAATTTTTGAGAATAGTGTTGCCTGTTGTCTTTTGGTAGCTAAGCACAGTTTTAAGACAGATACCAGTGAAACAATAAAATTAATTAATATATTATTTATCTCATCAATATTATATTCCGAATATCATCCATAGGATTATCTACCTAGGTATCAATACATCTGTGCTACGCCACGCTACACAGCGTTATGCTACGCAGTTCGGTCAGTGCTACGCGTCACTGAATCGTACTACATCACTGTCCGCTACGAACGTAGCACGCTGCTACGAAATTTTGTGCGAAGTATTTCAATTTTATTTTTCGTTTAAATATTTTGTGTAATAGATTAACGCGTTTTATTTTATAAAGTCACGCCCTGAAAGAATAAGTAGAGTTGGACATTTTCAATCTGCCGCCAACATGACACCGGTTTTCCAAATAGCCTTATAATAATGGTAGGTAAGCCTATTTTATTGCTAGCTATACACCGAGCATAAGCATAGACCAGCACTATTTTTAGGAATATTTAAAAACCGCAACTATCACACGGGAGATAGGAAATTTCGTCCCGGAAGATAGGAAATTTTAAACTATTTTTATACCTAAGCTGATTGTGGTTACTTAAAGATACTATTCAATAATTATTTCCTAGAAGGGTAACCACCAGGGTCAAAAGCAAACACTAAAAAAAGAATAAAATTCAATTTCCCGTCTTCCCTAGAAATATTTCCATAGATTCCATCAAAACCCAATCTCAAACTTCTAAGTCAAAGGTAATGTTTGTTTTTCTAGTTAAACGACTTTGTTCAACGGCCCGTCTATTGAATTTACTTGGACGAACACAACTCTGTGAACTTCTTAAAATATTTCCCTCTTGACTATAATGTGATTAGCTTTCCTTCCTTCTTTAAGAGCAATTACTACGTACTTTGTAGGGCATCATCAGGCCCTTGGCTGAAGTGTAAGGTGAACGGGCCTTTATTTCTGGCTTCTTATTGCTTTTTTCCTATTTTTGGAAAGTATTTGGATGTATGGAATTTTATACGGCACTGTAATATGAGATTTTGTTTTTAATGTTTTGAGTATTTGCTGAATTCTTTTGTTTTTTTTTCTAATTGTTGTTTTGTTTGGTCTTGTGGTATTTAAAAGAGAACTTGTCCAAGAATCGACTCTGAAGGAGGGCGAAATATTTACAGAATTAACATTATCTAAGATTTTGAAAATAATTATAAATTGGTGCATTCTAGTAGAATCTAATAATTTTTTAAATATTCGCTTTATTTGGGCTTCAAAAAAGTAAGGTCACCAGTATCCGATCTCCACTTACTCCATTATAGACCTTATTTCCGATGTTTAGAGACTACTTTTATACGAACAAAAGTTGTGGATTTTTCATAATTGGTGATTAACGAACTTAATTAGGAAAATATATGTATATACTAATACCTATACCTCGAACTGTAATTATACCTTAAGAATTCTTTTATAAATTCAAAATTGTAATCCATATAAATTATCTTGGTTACTTTATTTTAATAAAGAAGGTATCTACAACATGACTTGTAAAAAACGTGTGAGAAAATTTCCGCTCTGGTTTCCAGGAAAACCGTATTCAGAATATATTACACCATACATATTCATGTACATAATTATGAATATGTAGCATACAATTATGTTTATGTAGTTATATATTCATGTTTCACAAAATTAATGTCTTATCGTCAAATTTGTGGGTGAGAAGCCATGAATGAATTATGTCGCTCACCGACCGCAACCTAGTTTAGAAAATGCTTCTATGAGGGAAGCATATTTTTTCTGCTTATACCTCTAACAAGTATTGTAACTAGAAGAAGTAAGTGGAATTAAAATTATGAATCTAAACATTCAATGAAGAATCAACTCAATTTTAAGTAACATTGGTTTGAAAATTGATCATTATCAGATTTTATTAGTTATATCAACTTAATAGTAAAAGCAACTATTGCAGGTTACTTTATTACATCTAGCCAATATGAGTGTTATTCGAGGTCGGCTTTTTTAACGGTAAAATCAACTAAAGACTCCTCGGAGAGGGAACGTAGGGACTCTTACTGTAGCCTCCTCCGCGAGGCAACTCTTACTGGTTAAAAATCACTCTATTTCATCTCCTGTTTTGAGCTTGAGCATCGATAACCTGCAAGGTCCTCGGCAGCCCCGAAGATGTGATAATATTTAACGTCTTGTCGGCTGGAGGATTTTTAAGTCTATATTGCCTCGTTAGTAATAGGGATGCGAAATTTTAAACTTAAAAAAATAAAATAATCCCATTTGATATTATGAGTTGATACTGTTGTTATGTAAAGCTAAATAAATTACAACAACTTTATTCCATAACTTTGCGAATTAACTTCGAACAAAGTTTGGAAGTGAGATAATTTGAGTCTAAACTTCGTAGCCGTATATTTTGCTAAATACAAATCAGAGGCTAAAATGTTGTTGATGCGTATAAATATTAACGAAGTAATTACTTTATATTCTTGATGATTTATTACTGTTTAATAAATTAGTTTCATGTAGGTACATAGTACGGTGTTGTACTTAGTATTTTTAATCTACTAAACGGTGTGTTGTTTTTTTATGGCATAAACCGGTAAACGAGCGGACGCATCACCTGATGGTAAGCAATTGGCGTCACCTATGGACACCTGGAACACCAGAGGCGATACAAGTGAGTTACCGGCCTTTTGGGGATTAGGATTGTTAGGATCGTTGGGGATTCAGGAATTGGGGAGATTGGGGAAGGGGAGGGTAATTGGGCCTCCTGTAACCTCACTCACACGACGAAACACAACGGAACCGTTGCTTCACGTCGGTTTTCTGTGAGGCCGTGGTATCACTCCGGTCGAGCTGGTCCATTCGTGCCGAAGCATGGCTCTCCTACACTTAACTTGTTGATTGATGATGAATTAGATACTCCAGAAATAGTAGTTTTATTTTAAACAAATTTTTGACATAATACACATAACACAATTGTCTATCAAGAAGGTCATGTCGAGTTGATAAAATAGACTATTATGACCTTCGACACTGGCAGTATAGTCAACAAGATCGTTTTGGAGACTCGTTTGCCAAAGAAGAAGAAAAAAAGAATATGACCTGACGATTTAGACAAGATGCTTATGGGACTGTTATAAGTAAGTCTATAAAATTACCCACTAATTACTTGTAAAAATAGACAATTTTAATTTTCTAAAGGTACTCCGTCACCTGAGCATTCACGTGTAATGTAACATTATAGATTCGACTTTGAGCATTACATTACAATAATACCTCCCTGACTAACGAGCATTTGCGTGTAATGTAACATATAGATTCGACTTTGAGGATTTCTTAGCAAGCTGTCAGACATTGATGTTACAATTTGTATCAAGATATTACACATTGTATCATTACAAGGTGCGCATTGTAATGCTCGGTTCTCCTCCTTCACAGATGTAATGCTCAGATCAGTAACGTTACATTACACGCGAATGCTTCCGGTGAGGGTGCACCTTTGCGATAAAATTACTCACTAGGCAAACGTAGTGTAGGGCGCCCTCCAGTATAGGCCGAGTTGAGTAAAGATATCCAAAGTGGATGGTAGTATTTGGATACGTTGACCTGAAGATCAAGCTCAGTAGCAAGCCATTAAGTAACCAATTGATGGTGAAAGATAATACTACTCACTGTATAGAATCATGGTGCCTCGCTTTACTGCCTCTCTTGTACAGAGTGCCCGCAGCTGCTGCAGCAGTCAGCAACGCTAACGCAGCCGCTGCACAGCCACCGGCAGCAAATAATACGCCACTAGAAGTTTGTGATGCGTCACCAGCCAGCCGAGCCGTCTCATTGTGTGTTACTACTGTTGATAGACCTGTGTGAAATTTAGATTATTTGAAAAATAAGAAATTGAACGATGAGTGAGTAATTTATTGCCTGTAAAAAGTCATAATGTCTTCTTCTTGGTTATACGTAGAGGTAATTTATATTTATTACCTTTTGTATTAATTACTGATTTATAGACTGCCTCGTTGGCCGAGTGGTTGCAAGTGTGAATCTCAGGGTCTCGGGCACGATAAAAGTATTTCTGGATTAAAAAAAAAAATCTCAGTAGTACAACGGAGTTTGAAATTGTGTCCGGCATATGACAATAAGTTCACCCCCTATTTCATGGGACTTTTAACATAAATAGAAAAAAGTGGGTGTTACATTGTACAATGACATAATGTGCACTTCTACCTACCCCTTCGGGGATAAAATGCGTGATGTCATTGTCCATTGCGTCATTGTCCACTACACTTGTCTACAACAACACCTATACGTATACTACGTTCATTAATTCAAGTATATAAACTTAAACCTTCCTAATAATGTATTGTTGTGGTGAAATCTACATAAATCTCTTATAGACAGATACTAAATAGATCGATTTTACTCTAAAAAGACAAACAAGACAGTGGTCTTTGTTATAATTAAACTGTCAAACACCGCGAGGACACCGGTGACAGCAACCTATTGTTCTTTAATTGTGTCTATAATGATGGTACTCAAAGAGTTAAGAAAGGTGCGTAGTTTTCATATAAAAAACAAAACAAATGCCGCACAATCCCTTAGAGCAATGTCCTATCTACAGAATAAAATAAATCACGTTTTCAACAACAACAGCAAGAAAACAAAAATGACGACAATTTAACGCTTTCACATAAAACATGGCACTCCCACCGTTTATGCCCACTAAATTGAATATCGAGTGTAATAAAAAACTTGGAAATAAAAGAGGGTGTATAATGGTGACATAATGAGCTCGGAAACTCAGTCTTTATTACGCCGTCCCCTAATATTAAAGCTGAACGATTTACACGTGGATAAACTAGAAAAAATACGGATATTACCCGCTAAGTGTCAATTTTTGACTTAGTAATTTCACGGAGACGTTTCTCGAGAGTTTTCTAAAATTCGGACCGTTGCTTCTTTTCCTGTTCGTAATGTATTGAATTAATAAAACGTTTTTTTCAACATAGGAGAGTTTCTTTGATTTCAACGAATTCGTATTTAGTAGAAAAAAATCTTAATTGGTCAGAAGTTATTTAGTTTTCCATGACTTTTCCGGTTAGTAACATAAGCAACATCTTAATACTGTTACCCATTAAATTCTTAAAAAACAACCTGGATCCTGGACCAATTAGACTTTAACACTCGCTTGCACCCAGGCTAACAAGTATAGCCCTAACAAGGTAGGTAACAATGTAACAAACTTCTTTAACTACAGGCAGGGATGAAGCAGGCACCTTTATGTATCAATATTGCATTTTTCTAAAGAAATATTTTTAAGTCTTATATATAGTTTTGATTGCTTGATAAATTGTGTAGTAGCAGGCTGATCTAAGGATCATCTGATTGACTAAAAGACGCGGGTTACTCACGTGAATATACTGAGAAAAGTGAATATACTGTGAGTAACCCGCGATTTTCACTTAATTTAGTATGTCTCACGATAGTTCTTATATTATAAAAATCATCTGATTGAGTTGATAATATTATTTTTCTATGAAACTAACGACACACAGTCGCAGGCTCTGGAGAAATCCCGATCGGACGACCTAGTGGGTTACCAGTTCTATCTACAGGGCGGTTTTTAGTCAGTAAGAGTCTGACAACCCCTCCCGTCTCACACAAGACGGGAAAAGTCATTGTATGATTCTTCCCCCAAAAGAAAGTCTTTGGACAAATGTAATCAATGATATACCCCAAATATTGTGATGTTGTGTGCCATCAACGGTCGATGGATGTTCGTCATCACTATGCTACAGGTAATTTTCGAAGCCATTCAACCGATAGAAGACTCGAGGACTCCAAGGAATAAGAGTTTCACCATTAAGGAGTTCACAAGTTAAGTGAGGTCGAACGATGACTGGTAATCGATTGGCTTTCTGTTCGAGTGGAAAATTATTAGCTTGAGATTACTGTTTATTTTAATATCTTGTTGATTTAGGGATTGTTAAATAAACAATGATAAGTAGATAACGACTACCTTGTTGGCCGAGTGGTCGCATGTGCGACTGCCGGGCAAGGTGTCCTGGGTTCGATTCTCGGGTCGGGCAAGTATTATTGGGTGTTTTAAAAAAGTCTCAGTAGTAGCACTAAGTCTGAAATTGTGACCGGTATATGGCAATAGGCTCACCCCCTATTACATGGGACTATTAACATAAATAGTGAAAAGTGGGTGTTACATTGTGCAGTAGCATTAAGTACCGTAATGTACAGCTCTGCCTGCCCCTTCGGGGACTATGTTACATAATGAATTTCTAGATTTTGAAGGTACTGCAGAGAATTTAAAGACATTTTTCATTTTAACGACCGCGGCGTGAGTAAGTCTAAGTACCTACCACCTAACATCTCCGTGTTTATCATTAAAAATTACACCATATTATAACCTTTACTAGAAATTTAAATATTGATAAGCAAAAATAAGGAACTTTTATATGGCAAATATTATTCATTCCGAGTATTATTCCACCTAACTTAACTAATTAAATGATTATCAAGACAAAGCTATTTTAAAATTTCAATTACAATATTGAGTTTCGACTTAATCTGAAACTTAATATTCTAATTAAAAAAACTTCACTTACATAATATTATTCAATGCTTTCTTAAAACACATTGCTTACAAAGCAAACATATCTGCTAATCAACTTCAATAAACAACTCAATGTAACAATAATATTATTGTTTCTGTAGATACGGAGAAGCTGGGAGGTTTCCTAGAACAGAGGGGTAAAATTTACACCCATAAAAAGGAATAAAAGCTAATTTGATATATTATAATAGAATACAAATTATTTGTACTATGATATAACGATACCAAATTAAAAACTAACGACTGTCGATACAGTTTTTAATCTACGTATTGTGGGCTAAACTAGACTTTAATCTCTCATTACATTAATTACGTATTAAACTTTTACTAAACCACAGCTTGCAGACCAACTAATAATAGCATATTTTACGTTGCTATAAGGATTATAATAGCATAACATTGTCAATTTTATTTACAGCGTTGGGTTTGAGTAGCGAACAATTTCCTAACAAAACGATTGAGTCATCCCTTTGTCTCATTCCAATTCGTACAAATAAAGAAACCGCATTCTCAAAATCTCAAACATCCATCATCGTTCACTTACACAAACATAATCACAATACCAAACATATGTACCTCCCTACCCCCCAGAATATCAATTAGAAAGATTCGAAAGACGATAAAAATTACCATACTGAATACGTAAATTATGGATCTTTTGATGTGGCTGTAAATAAACCTCGTCGCTTCATAAAAAAGGGAAAAAATAATGAAAAAATAAACATAAAGAAATGTCTACGCGTGTAAAAGGTACAAGAAAATTTCCAAGTCAAATAAAACGTACAATGGAACAATCGATACTGTCTTGTAAACACATTAAGAGGGAGCATACATATAGGGCTGTCGAAGGATTTCCATGTGATTATTGTTACGCATGGATTACTTGAGATTTTCTCTCGCCTTAGGGTTTTTATTTGAGCTTGGTTCTGATATTGATTGTGTTATGTTTATCCTTTATTTATCAATAATGTCTTCTATTATAATATTTTTGAATAAATAATTATTGAAAATGTAACTCGACGCACTAAAGATTTAAATCTATTACATACTTTGACATTGAATATTTGTTTCCAATCCTACTCAATACACTTTTCTGTACATACTCATAAAAGAAAGAAATAAGAGTGCACAAAATAGATAACCAAACGGGATAAGAACAAAAACTTTAAGCATAGACACACGTGCCACCCAACACAATCTTAAAATCCGTAAATCCTTCAATTTTATTCCGACAACCCTACGCATCGCCCCTCGATACATCTCCATCCCTCTCAAAATATCCTGTTGCGTCTACAACAGTCTACATGCTAATAAAGAGCGCGGAGAAGTGATTTGTGGGGCAAAACTCTGACTTAGCACCGATGAGGATATTCTACAAACCTTTTATTATATACATCCGTACTAATATTATAAGTGTGTGTCTGTCTGTTTGTTTGTCCTTCTTTCACTGAAAAACTGAGCAACTAATTTAAGTAGTTTATTTAGTTTATTTAGTGTATATAGTTGAAGGGTTGGAGAGTGAGAGGAGAAATAAGTTTGTGTGTGTACAGACCTTTTATGTCTCTTTCTAACCGTTACATCTCTAAAATGGGGGTGGAAGTTTGTATGGAGCATTGGAGGCCCGGAGGTTTAAGACGCCCGCTTCTCATGCATGAGGGTGCGGGTGCAAAACCTAGCAACGGCAAGTACCAATGTGACTTTTTCAGACTTATATGTCTTTCTAAGGCCACTTTCACCACTGACAAACGGTAAAGATAACATCGTTAAGAAACCTGGGCTTATATTTCTAATTATAAGTTTGTAATTTCTTTCTTCTTTCTTTCTTATAGGCTGTTGATGATGATTATAAAATTGACATATGGGCTATTTGTGACTAAGAAAAAAAATCGTGAACAATTTTTTTACATATCCGCCTCCAACCCCTAAAAATAGCACGAGTGAAGCCGCAGACAAAAGCTAGTCTATATTATTTTAAGCTGCAAACGTTATTGTTCCCGATTTCTGCTAGCAAAGGAGTTTCTATGTAACTTTGTTTGAGTAAACGAAACATAGAATTGATTTATTTGCTGTTGATAACAGTTAAGAGGCTTTCGCTTGTTTATTGTGGAGGTTTATAGAATTAATATAGGTTGCAATTTTGTTACGTAAGTGGTTTCCTTCTGTTGAAATTACGATCATATAGTGTAGGTACTCAGAAACAACTGCCTTTTACAGTAACACACTTTTATTTCTTT